CAACTACATTTTCACCCATCTATTGAACTCAGTCGCGAATGAAAAGATTCCTGGGATTGCGAATTACCAGGCGTGGTGCGGCCTGATACGATAAATCCATTCAGTCTCCCATCCTGCTTACTCCATTCCGTCCTGTGTGTTCCAAACGTAGCTCTTCAGCCGTTTTTCTGGGACCAATTTTGGCGTTGAAATCATCGACTATGACATTGAAGAAAGTGATATCCTCTCTGTAACGCTCTTCCGAATCCTTATATCCAGTTCGCCCTCTTTCTAGCTTGATGTTGGTGCGTAGCCAACGAAATTGTCAGAGCCGGGGTCGGTCAGCTGCTGTCAGAGAATCGAAGCCTGCTCCGCTATCACTCAACTTAGCTAGTAATTCAGAATGAACAACTGTTTTAACATTCCTAAGTTTTGGTCCACAGTCCACAGTGACGAAAGTCCTACACTGAAACCGCCTTCCACGCAAGAAGAATCTCGATTAAAGGCCAATACTAATTGCTTGATATCCTTCTCTAAGTTTCCAAGACGGGAGCTGCAAGACGTTTTGGCAGGAGAAAGGTTTTGCGCAAATGATGGTCCGCCCTGGTTTCTTGTTCCATTGGCCGCTTGCTGCTATCGTGCAGACATGCCATCGTATAAGCAAGGTTCTTCTGTTTTCACCCACTCATTCGACTAGTTGGAACTGTGGAATGCTAGGTTCTTGGCTGAATTTTCCGAGTTGCAGTGGTTTCGTACGTCAAGACACTTGTTTTGTAACTTACCGAACAGAGCTCCGGGACCAGTTCCAGGATTTTTGAGAGCACAGCTTGTTCAGAATACCGATCAAGGAAAGTAGTTCCAGGACGACATACTTACACACACACCACTGAGGACAGTACGCCTTAGTTCTGAGAAGAAGGAGCGCAGACCATTCTGAATGTATATCCTCATCTGTAGTTATCGTCAATGCCAACGAGAGGCGACGAGGATCCACAGACTTCTCAACATTATGGTGGAATCGTGGGAGTTCTGTGCATTCCTGACTGAACTCCGTAGTCTTTTGGTCATAGTCATCGCAGCTATTCTTTGGTTCGTTGCCTGAGCAGATTAGGGAATGACGTCGTCTTGAATGACATCAAGAAGACGTCGTTAATCATCAGCTAATCGGCAGTGGGCTCCATGATCCGACGTGCCCTACATATCATAACATTTCCTAGGTGGAATGGAAACTGCATATGGCGAATGAACAGGTTGTAGCAACCTCAGAGGTCATCTTGTGATGGACCAGGTGGAACAGATACATATCGATGGGGCGGGAGTGATGTTGGTACACATAGGAAAAGGCAAGTGACCTTGCAAGCCTGCTTACTTCAGTCGCATTGAGACGCTTAGAAGACTACCAAGGCTGTGATTCAGGCATCAGTTGTGATATTCACGGTTGAGCATGGCGTAGAGCCAGTAGCACCCTAGCGCACGCATGATCCGAAGATCCCTTAGTGGTGCCCACTAGATTCAAAGCAAACGTTAAATTCATTCTGAGTCGGGTAAATGGTACCCCACACTCATCTAGGAAGACAAAAACACAAACTCGCATATCGGTTGGCCACAGTACCTCTTGTATAGGCCATGTAGGTAGGTCTCGGATTCCTACGACTCTGAATGGGAGAGGAATAAGAGGGCCAGCTCAAAAATGGGACTAATCAACACCGAAAGTCTGGTAAAGCCTATCCTTCCCGAATGAATTCGTGCAGGGGAACCTAACGGCTCTTTTTTCTGAACATTCAGATGTGGCATCCGGAGCTTCATAAAACAGGAGTGACGCTTCCCCATTACGAGCCGACTTATGTCTTTCGTTCATTTATGTGGGCTGTAAGATGGCCGAGTTTTTTTTCAGAGGCTTGTCTTCTTTGTTAGTAGTATCGGATGTTGGCCTTTCATTATCTGTCGAAGGTAAATCTTGCCATTCACAGCACCTCTGAAGTACTAGTTAGTAGCTGTCTTCTACATGAGTAGCACCCGCAAATGATTTTCAAAGGGCTAGGACAACAGAAAGAAGTAGGCCTCGGTCATGTGAGGGCCTGGAATCTCCCCCTGCCTTTACTGTCAGAACTTTTTGTTCCTTTTCGAGAATTTTCTGCAGAAACCAGTCTTGACTGTCCCTCTTGTGAGCTTGTCAAAATTGATCCAGAAATGAGTGCGAATACCCTATCTTCGCTTCGAGACAAGTGGAAGCTACCACGCGTCATGCCAGGCGTCATGTCAGGCGGAAGGTTTCATACGTACGTTGATCCCCTTGAACCCTTTGTTTTCTTCGTCGCTTGCTGTTAGCGGGCACACGCTGATACGCCATTGTTAACGGAAAACTCGTCCCTATTCACTCATTAATTCCAGTGGGATTGTTGACAATGGTGAAGATGTGGAAGGCTGTGTTCTTGACTACATTGGTGGCTTGCCATTCGTTCAGGGTGTTGATGCACTCAACCGAGTAACTCACCGAGCAGATATTCTGGACCAGTTTGGGGCTCTCGAACTCAACGATTTCATCAAAGCGCCTATCGAGCCAAGCAGAATCAGGATAACGCAACCGTACACATAATCAACCCTAGTTTCAAGAAGTTGGGAGAATCTACATGTTTCACAATTCTGAGCTTTCTGGAAGTTATCGTTCAAAGGATGGGTGTCTTTGAATGGATCTTTCAGGAAGTACAGATGTCTACATCCCTGTGAAAACACATACAGATGAGTAATGTTGCCATTACTCGCTGTACTCTGAGTATTGTCTAGACTGCTGATTTCTTTCATGCCTACTGATCCGGGAGAGATTACTCGGATCAGTAGGTATGAATGACAAAAGTCGTGATTCACTGACATCAAAAAGGTTGCTTTGAAGATTATTCAANAAAAAAAGAAAAAGGGTAAGCGGAAAACGCTCTTAAAGATTTTATCCACTTCTACAATGAGAATGAAATTTCACAGAAATCCCAGGCTGCTTTTCGGAATACAGATTAGTGTAGATTTTGCGAAATTTGCTCGGTCGACTACTTCCTAGGTCGAGGGCTAGAATGACATTCACATGTGGACAGAAAAGTAAAAAAAGTAAACATTCAGATTGATGAGGCTATGTCTGGGGTGACATCACCGTACAATGCCCTCAATCTTCCTAATGATTCTGAAACCACTTACATTATCACAATTACTCGCTCCAAATAGCTGCTCGTAATGATCAACGATAAAGATAGTGAAGGAAAAAGTCTTTAACACTAATCAATCCCATTTTCAGTAGACGCCCCCGCATTCCACTTCCATTCGGGGTTGTACGGGTGGTTGAATGCTATGTGGCCTTCACAATGAATTGCGCCGGCCCACTGATGTACGAGTTGGTGGTTTTATACTCCCAGACACGTCTGGTACCATTTGACCGACCCTAAAGAGATGGAAGGCTTAGTCAGCCCAGGTGGGTATCGATCTGGACTTGGTTTCTGAACCATAAGTTCTTTATACTGGGTCACTTGCCACTAATACATCTCCTTATGATTGTCATTAATA